TGGACGCGCCGCATCAACCAATCAGAGAAGCTGATCTGGAAGCTGACAGCGAGACAGACACAGCGCTCTGATGACATATGATATTAACGCAAATGGAAAAGGCTGGATGGATGAGGAGATGATGAAAGCGTAGCTGAGGGAGGTGTAGCCTATGTGAGGAGACCAGGTGGTTTTTTCCACGCATCACCATCGCTGCGTGGCCATCTCACAGCCGATGTGAAAAAAAAGGTGAATCAAATGGACGCTGCGCTCGCCGTTATTCCGGGGGGTCTGACAAAGGAACTTCAATCGCTCGACATCGGTGTGAAGCGGCCTTTCAAAGTAAGGCTGAGAGCGGCGTGGGAGCGATGGATGACAGACGGAGACCACAGTTTCAGGATAAGTGGAAGGCAGCGCCGGGCAAGTTACGCCACCGTTTGCGGATGGATTGTAGATGCTTGGACTAACGTGTCTGCTGGCTCTGTTGTTCAAGCTTTTGCAAAAGCTGGCATTATTTCTGAGGAGCCGCCCGGCACGGAAAGTGACTCTGACAGCGAAGAAGGGGAAATTGGCATGTCTGATTTAGCGCAGCTGTTTTATTCAGAAACAGAGGATGATGACTTTGATGGGTTTGATTAATACTTTGTAATAAATACATGAATAAAGCACAATCATACTCAGTTTTGCTCCCGCTCTATTTTTCTACCTGAAAACTTAATTCAACAGCAGCCTCTGGGCCGGGTCTCCTCCTCTTCACCGTGGCGGCTGGCAGGTGTTTTTTCATCTAAATAATCTAAATCTTGCAGCTATATTTGCTGTGATCAGTGGGAATAAAGTAGTTTTAATATGGTTTTAAGTGAGAAAGTCCACCTGAAAACTTAATAATTGCAGTCAGTTCATCCAGATTATCTATTTCTGTCGGAGGCGCTCAGACCCCCACATACCAGCGGTGCGCCGACAGGAGAAATCCTTTCATCAGCAGCCTCTAGGCTGGGCAGCCTCCGGGTTCACCTTGGCGGCTGCTGGCAGGTGTTTTTTTTATTTAAATAATTTAAACTGCAGGCACCCATAAAAGCGAACATATTCCGTCGGCAGGTTTCAGGATTTTAAGTTACAGGTGCTGGTCATAAAATTAGAATATCATGAAAAAGTAGATTGATTTCAGTAATTCCATTTAAAAAGTGAAACTTGTATATTATATTCATACATTACATACAAACTCATATATTTCAGATGTTTATTTTGTTTAATTTTGATGATTACAAATGACAACAAATGAAAATCTCAAATTCATCATATCAGAAAATTAGAATATTACTGAAGACCAATAAAAACAAAGGATTTATAGAAATGTTGGCCAACTGAAAAGTATGAACATGAAAAGTATGAGCATGTACAGCACTCAGTATTTAGTTGGGCCTCCTTTGGCCTGTATTACTGCAGCAATGCGGCGTGGCATGGAGTCGATCAGTCTGTGGCACTGCTCAGGTGTTATGATAGCCCAGGTTGCTCTAATAGTGGCTTTTAGCTCTTCTGAATTGTTGGGTCTGGTGTATTGCATCTTCTTCTTCACAATACCCCATAGATTTTCTATGGGGTTAAGGTCAGGAGAGTTTGCTGGCCAATTAAGAACAGGGATACCATGGTCCTTCAACCAGGTACTGGTAGCTTTGGCACTGTGTGCAGGTGCCAAGTCCTGTTGGAAAATGAAATCTGCATCTCCAAAAAGTTGGTCAGCTGCAGGAAGCATGAAGTGCTCTAAAACTTCCTGGTATGTGGCTGCGTTGACCCTGGACCTCAGAAAACACAATGGACCAACACCAGCAGATGACATGGCACCCCAAACCATCACTGACTGTGGAAACTTTACACTGGACTTCAAGCAACGTGGATGAAGTGCCTCTCTTCTTTTCCTCCAGACTCTGGGACCTTGATTTCCAAAGGAAATGCAAAATTTACTTTCATCAGAGAACATGACTTTGGACCACTCACCAGCAGTCCAGTCCTGTTTCTCTTTAGCCCAGGCAAGACGCTTCTGACGCTGTCTGTGGTTCAAGAGTGGCTTGACACAAGGAATGCGACAGCAGAAACCCATGTCTTTCATACGTCTGTGTGTGGTGGTTCTTGAAGCACTCACTCCAGCTGCAGTCCACTCTTTGTGAATCTCCCCCACATTTTTGAATGGGTTTTGTTTCACAATCCTCTCCAGGGTGCGGTTATCTCTCTTGCTTGTACACTTTTTTCGACCACATCTTTTCCTTCCCTTCGCCTCTCTATTAATGTGCTTGGACACTGAGCTCTGTGAACAGCCAGCCTCTTTAGCGATGACCTTTTGTGTCTTGCCCTCCTTGTGCAAGGTGTCGATGGTCGTCTTTTGGACAACTGTCAAGTCAGCAGTCTTCCCCATGATTGTGTAGCCTATAGAACTAGACTGAAAGACCATTTAAAGGCTTTTGCAGGTGGTTTGAGTTAATTAGCTGATTAGAGTGTGGCACCAGGGGCCATCAATTTTGAACCTTTTCACAATATTCTAATTTTCTGATATGATGAATTTGAGATTTTCATTTGTTGTCATTTGTAATCATCAAAATTAAACAAAATAAACATCTGAAATATATGAGTTTGTATGTAATGTATGAATATAATATACAAGTTTCACTTTTTAAATGGAATTACTGAAATCAATCTACTTTTTCATGATATTCTAATTTTATGACCAGCACCTGTAATTTAGGAGTGATCATAGCGCTGTGTCATCTGCGATGTGTCTGTCTCACGGCCAGCTGCCAGGTTTGATTAATACTTTTTAATAAATACATGAATAAAGCACAGTCATACTCAGTTTTGCCCCCGCTGTATTTTTAAATACGCAGTAGAGGTATTTAAAGGTAGTAGAGGACATGTACCTGTATATAAAAAACGCGCCCTATAGTCCGGTGCGCCATATGTGTGTGTTAAATACAGAAATGGGACACATAACTGAGACTGCGCCTTTTAGTATGGTGCGCCTTATGGTCGTGAAAATACGGTATCTTAGTGTTGACATTCAGTAGCAAGCACTGCGCCCCTTTTTCTTTTATATGTACACGTACATTTAAGATTTAGCGTGTTAAGTTGACAACTCATGAGCAAGCTGCTTTATGCAATCTAGCAGGGAGGTAAGGATAGGATCTTGCAGGTGTGACGTCACTCTGCAGAAGATTTAAACAATTTTGGCATTGGAATTTCAGATTTAAGGGAGTTAGAAAGTTCACTTAGTAAAAGTGCAAATAATAAATCTGATTACCCATTACTTTTAAGCAGTGATGGGACTAACGGCGTTGAAAGTAACGGCGTTACTAACGCCGTTACCTTGTTTTAGTAACGAGTAATCTAACTAATTACTTTGACTGTAACTATAACGCAGTTACCATTGCAGACACCCCGTTACTGCGCGTTACTCAGGTCGCACAATGAACCTTTTTTCATGATAGGACTCGTGCGCAGCTGCGTGAAGCTGACACCCCACCCACGTCAAAAAACTCTGCAAATAGACTGAATGGTTACTGCAACGTTAGTGCAGGTTTGTGCAGAAAAAAATATTGTTTGTGCTACTTTTGTTTAAGAGATATTAAAGATTATTTTTTTAGGTCATCCAGAGTTGCGCGCCTTGTCATGAGAGAGGGGAGGATGAGAGTGGCTGATGAATAGTGAGATTCCGTCTGTAAGTTGGGTAGGTGGGTGTTTCCGCTGGTGGGTGTTAACGTACAGCACACACAGAGAGATGGAGAGTGAGGATGACTCCAGCAGCAAAACAGCGTTTTCCACATGGAAATACCGGTGTTACGTCGAGCTGCGTTTCCCCATCAGATACGGTTTCCTCTGCATCTCCGCACAGCGCAGGCAGCACGAGTCACCGCGCAAGCGACAGGAAACGCGCATGCTCGCTAAAGGCGCGCAACAGTCGCCCTGTGCTCACACCACAGGAGAACTATGGAGAGCGTGAACGATCAAATGATAGCCTATATGGAGAAAGGGAGAAATCTGGATGGATGGATGGATGGATGCTCTGCCTTCTCAACCTACTGTATTTTTTTATTTTAAACATTATTTGATGGCCTTTGTGGCAGGGATGGAGATCCTAATTTTATGTCACACACAGAGATAGATAGATGGATAGATAGATGTTGCAGTATCTATAACAGCCCAAACACACAGGATTTCAGAATGAGACATCCCCAGTTATTAATTTCATACACTCACCAGATCTGAATGCCCTGTTAAAAAACTTCACATCACGTTCCCCCCTGATTTCATTTACGTTGAGTTGCAATAAATGCTAAACTCTCTGCAGGTTCTTGTCTTTGTCGTCCGCTCTATTCAGCTGGCTTTTGAAACACACGGCGAGAAGGTGGGGGCTGGGTGGGGAGGGTTACGGGGGCAAGAAACACAAAAATAACGCAATAGTTACTTTTACTAGTAACTAGTTACTTTTATTGTGGAGTAACTCAGTTAGTAACTCAGTTACTTTTTGGGAGAAGTAACTAGTAACTATAACTAATTACTTTTTCAAAGTAACGTGCCCAACACTGCTTTTAAGCTGGTTGAACATACTGCGACAGACTGGTGACCTGTCCAGGGTGATCCCACCTCTCACCCAGAACGTGGCTAGAGATATGCACCAGCACCTCCTGATCCCACTGAGGGATAAGGTTAAAGAAAATGGATGGTTGAACATAGTCCGCTCTCCCAGATTTTATCAAATCAGTATTGATACCCTGCTGGTGGATGTTCTTGACAGAAAGACGGAGTTGCTTAATCATATTCTGCTTAAGGTCCCATAAGATCTTGTCCGAGTCCTGGTTTAAAAGTAAATTAATTTTAAAAAGTGACCTAAAATTGACCGTCAATAAATGTTCTACAAAATTGATATATTTATTTGATTTCTTTGATTTGTACTGTCTGTTTAGATTTGATATTTTTTGCACAAAATATATAAGTGAATATTGTAACAGTTATGTTTTCAACTGTAAGCATTAAATTGATAAATGTTATTCGCATTTTTTTGGCTTTATCCTTTCCAACAAAAAAAAGGCGTTGCGCAGGTAGCTCCCTTTCCTTATGAGCCGTCCCCACCAACTTTCAACACAAAGTTACACCCTTGACTGACACACACTTATATATGTCCCAAATCTTCATCTGAGTCTCCTCTATAGATGATCCACTTCATTCTAATATCCATTGACCATAGCTCTAACACTGGGCCAAAAACAGTTGGAGTTTCGGTGGGCCTGGTTTAAAAAACACATGTAGCAGGGCTGATTGATGCATTGCTAATGAGCTAAACTCTGATCATTTGCAGCTGACCTCTTAGAATATCCTCCAAAAACATCAGCAAAACTGAGCAAAGCTCATTAAATCTGTCCTAGCTTTGACTTTATATTTATCTGAGGATATTTTCATCTGAATAAAATTCTATTCCTGGAATATTTCCAACCGATAGCTTATCATTCAACTAAAAGGTTCTTAGTCCCAAAGATAAAACATGTGAGTTTTCTTTTCTGAACAGATTCATTCAGAAAAAGGTGTGCCACACCATGCCAAAATGGCACAGCAGGGGTTTGTCTGAATTTTTTTTTTATTTAAAAATCTATAACTTCTCAATTGCATGTTGTATGGACAGCAAACTAGCTTCACCTGTAACTAAGGTGTTTCAGTTGCACTTAATTATGTTTATTCCCTTCATTACAGAAAAATTAAGAAATTGTGAATGTAAACATCTTTTGTTTTGTTAGGGCAACATTCTTTTTTTGGCCCAATAAATCTAATTTACTCAGGACCAAAATAATTAACTTTCAAATGTTCACATCCACATATTCACCCAGGACCTGAATATTTAGCAGGTTAACAATATAACACCTTATCTGTTCTAGTTTCTATGTAAACAGAGTTGTTAATTAATGGCTTTCTCAAAACTTTGCTTTAAAAAGACCATTAACTTGTGAGTTTCTCATGTAATGAGGTGAAGGATTTAATAGATGGACATTTTATCACCAGTCAAACATGGAAAACGCCTCTACTGTTCATTCCTGTGGTGACTAATGGCTGTGACTAACGTGAAAAATTTTTTTTTTAAAGTAGAAATCATTCCAGATCATGCATGAATAAATATCATCTCAATACTCAAATGAACTTTTCCTTTAAAAGCTTTGTCACAGATCATTCAGGAGAAGCTTCTCACCTGTGTGAACTCTCATGTGTTTGACAATACTAGATTTCTGAGTGAAGCTTTTTCCACAGGACAGACATTCAAAAGGCTTCTCACCAGTATGAATTCTCATGTGAATGGTTAAATTACTTTTTACATTAAAATTCTTGTTACAAATGGTGCAGGAAAAAGGTTTCTCATCTGAGTGTAATCTGATGTGTCTATCAAGACTAGATTTCTCAGTGAAGCTTTTGCCACAGGACAGACATTCAAAAGGCTTCTCACCAGTATGAATTCTCATGTGATTGGTTAAATAACTTTTTACATAAAAATTCTTGTTACAAATGGTGCAGGAAAAAGGTTTCTCATCTGAGTGTAAGCTGATGTGTCTATCAAGATTAGATTTCTGAGTGAAGCTTTTTCCACAGGACAGACATTCAAAAGGTTTCTCACCAGTGTGAATTCTCATGTGAGAAGTCAAACTACCTTTTTTAGTAAAGTCCTTGTTACAAATGGTACAGGAAAAAGGTTTCTCACCTGAGTGTAATCTGATGTGTGTATCAAAATTATACTTCTGAGAGAAGCTTTTTCCACAGGACAGACATTCAAAAGGCTTCTCACCAGTATGATTTCTCATGTGATCTGTTAAATTACTTTTTACATTAAAATTCTTGTTACAAATGGTGCAGGAAAAAGGTTTCTCATCTGAGTGTAATCTGATGTGTCTATCAAGATTAGATTTCTGAGTGAAGCTTTTTCCACAGGACAGACATTCAAAAGGTTTCTCACCAGTGTGAATTCTCATGTGAGAAGTCAAACTCCCTTTTTTAGTAAAATCCTTGTTACAAATGGCACAGGAAAAAGGTTTCTCACCTGTGTGAATTCTGATATGATTATTAAGATCAAACTCAGAGATGAAGCTTTTTCCACAGGATGGACATTCAAAAGGCTTCTCTTCAGTGGGAATTCTCATCATTGAAGTCAAATGACTTTTTACAGTAAAATTCTTGTAACAAATGGTACAGCAAAAGAGTTTCTCACCTGTTTGAATTTGTGTGCATCCCTCAAATCTAGATTTCTCCATGAACATTTTGCCACAGGATTGACATTGATAAATCTGACCTGCGTGACTTTTCATGTGATCCAATAAATGTTCTTTTTTCAGAAGGTTTTCTCCACATGTCAAACATGGTAAACATTTCTCTACTGTATCTTCAGTCTCTTGCTTCAGAACAAGCTGCTCTTCATGCTCACTTATGGGGAGCTCCATGGTTTCCTCTTTTGTCCAGGGATGTTCTGGTTCTTTCTGCTCTTCTTTTATCTGCAGAGCTTCTGGTTCCTCTTGGTCCAAACTGAAATTCCTCTCCTGTTCATAGAGCTGCTGGTCAGATAAATCCTCCTCTTTCCCAACATAACCTTGAAAGCAGTCTGGAAAGACAAACACAGCAGAAAGAATTTCTATCATGGGTTAAAGAAAGGACACCTGACTTTAATCATCCTTTTGTTGATCTAACTACATGCAAACAGACTGGAACTACATTTGTGCATCACAGAGGGCCAAAATAAAAGGGAGGTGCTCTCCAGAAAGCCAGAGCTGCATCCCATTCTGGTCTGATCCAGCTCTTTATCTAGCATTCTGTCTTTGCTGACCTCTGTGCAGAGCTAGAGTGTAAACTTTCTGACTTTTTAGACAAAATAAGTAGAAAACGATTTAAAAGGATTGTAAAAGGACAGAATGCACCTCTTAAGACACAATGTGGGTAATGCAGAACATTTTAAGAAAAGCAGGGTGATATTGACATAGATGACATTTTTATGGACATTATTCTACAGAAGAAATGTTAACTTCAATCACAAAACAAGTTCAATCTTTTCCCTCCCCAGTTTATTTCTACTTCACTCTGAAACCTAGAGTAAAAACTAATCCACACTAGATTCCTGTTAAACCATTTGTTATTCTTGTGAGAAAGATTCATGCTGCTCAAGCTCCTCCTATTTAATGACTCATTCTAACGTGAAGCAACTGTGTATCACTGTGATACACCTGAAGTCTAAAGCATTTAGATATCAGAGGATGACAATAGAAATATGACAAAGCCAATTGTTCCTTTTGAACAATCTGAAATGCAGAGACCTGTATGACGACATGTCCACAAGAGGCAGAAGGCTGAAGAAAACAAATATGTCTGCTCCTTTTTTAGCTAGAATACCTTCCATTTCTTTTAGAAAAATTCGTGAAAGGACACGATTTTTGCCTTTGTGCATGGAAAATATGTTTTTGTTTTCCTCTCAACCAGATTTGGTAAGATTTGATTTATCAGTTAACACCATAAAACAAATCAAGAACCTGATACGTCTCACCTGCTACTGCGGCTGTGATTGGCTAAAAGCTTGACTTGGGAGGTGGATACCCAATAAGCTCCAGGACTTGTACTGAATGATCCTCCCTTTTGTTAACATGTTCTACAGAAAGATACCCAGATTGATACGGTGCAAGAACTAAATTGAACTACGTGTTTTAATCTGGATTATACCTTGTTAATATGTGACCCTGAAGCAAAACAAAAAGCCCTTTCAGCGCTCTTTCTAAAGTTTCACAAGGCAGAAAAACTTTGTCAAAACCAAAAGGGAGTTTTAAAAATTCTTTTTCTATCTTGGAATAATATAAACCAGGTTTAAAGTGTCTGATTGCTATAGATTTCAATTGAAGAGCAGATTAACAAAACTTAAGGCTGTAATAAAACAGGTGGAATAGCCCTTTAGCTTTTCACTGAACCAGTGTTACAAGAAGAAGAGCAGCATGCCTGCTGAGAATTGCCTCACCTGCTGCTCTCTAAGCTCTTGCACATTGATGATCAAGTGTCATAAAATGGCCACTGTTTTAGTGAAGGAGGACGTGTAGACAATCTTTTTTTAATCAAAAGGAAACAGATGGAAAATGATGCTGGCAAAACCGGTGGTTTATATAAATATAAAAAATCTAACCGCGGATGTCTGGGGGACAGTGATTCGCCTACATGTTATGCCGCCGTATCATAAATGATAAATCATGAACAGTTTAGTTTGTGCCTTCATCTCGTTGCCCATAGGAAGACGTTACTTGGACATAACCTAACGGAATATCTTCAGAACAGCTCCAAATGACACAGAACTCATATGGGTGAGTAGAACATGATGTAATAACATAAAATCAAGGGCCCAATATAAAACAAATAGCGTTCCCCTTTAAGAGGTTTTTAGTTGGCTTTGAATTCTGATGTTCCCATCAATACTGATTTCTTTGTGAACATTTTGCCATAGGATTGACATTCATAAATATTCTTACCTGTGTAAGTTCTCATGTGATCCATTAAAAGTTCTGTTTTTAAAAAGTTTTCTCCACATGTCAAACATGGGAAAGGTTTGTCTTCAGTCTCCTGCTTGAGAACAAGCTGCTCTTCCTGCTCACTTATGGGGAGCTCCATGGTTTCCTCTTTTATCCAGGGATGTTCTGGTTCTTCCTGCTCTTCTTTTATCTGTGGTTGTTCTGGCTCCTCTTGGTCCAAACTGGATTTCCTCTCCTGTCCACAGAGCTGCTGGTCAGAGAAATCCTCCTCTTTTCCAACATAATCCTGCAGGCAGTCTAGAAAGACAAACACAGCAAAAAGGCGTTCTATTGGTGGTTAAATAAAGGACACCTCACATAAAAGCACCAAACTCTCCTTGAGGTTGAGGAGTGAGTGGATCCTATCAAGGAACCTGAAGTTCATTCTGGCCTAAAATTATTTCCCCACAAACAATTGTTAAGGAAAGTAAAGCATTTACATCCAACACCACAGTGACTGTCTGGCAAATGAGGAAGTAATGAGACACCCTAAACTCAGCAGTGCTTCCTGTACACCTCTCCCTGGAAGAGACATACCCCAGCTCAATGTGTCAGAGGTTGAGCTGATTTTAGCAAAGTAACTCAGCCGTATCACTCAAGAGCAGGATACTTATTTTCACTGATTATAGAAAAGGATATTTGACCAAACCAAATTAAAATGCTCTAAAGACACGAAGAAAAATAATTTTGACCAGACCAATTGAAGAAACTCCAATGAAGGAGGCATCAGATAAAGTTAGTTAAACCATATTAATATTTATACTGAGGACCAGTATTCCAAGAGCCATTAAGATGAGGGTAAGATCTACCGTGAATTACCAGAACTGATATTCTCATGGCCTCCGATAATGGACTTATATCTGTACTTGTCCTGTTAGATCTTAGTGCTGCATTTGATACAGTTGGTCATAATATTATTTTAGAAAGACTTGAATATTTTAAAGGAATTAAAGGAACAGCACTAGACTGGTTTAAATCTTATCTATCTGACCGATTTCAGTTTGTTCACGTTAATGATAAATCTTCACCATGCTCAAAGGTTACCTGTGAAGTACCACAGGGATCAGTGCTAGGACCACTTCTCTTTACTTACTATACATGCTCCCAATCGGTAGAGTTATTAGACAGCATGGGATTAATTTCCACTGTGATGCTGATGATACCCAGCTATATCTGTCTATAAATCCAGATGAAGCTAATCTATTACATAGATTACAGGCATGTCTGAAGACTTAAACAGGTGTTGGAGTGTTTTACAGTCCATATTCTTCCAGATCCACCTGGATCACAACCTTCAGGACTCTGCAGATTTAGATGCTTTTAGATGCTGCCTGCTCACAATGATGTTTTTGATCACAAAACTTCAGTTTCAGACAATATTTCACATTATTCACCAACATCATACACGTTTTTGATAGATCCGAGGCCAGAGATGAGGAAAGATATTCTGACCTATTAGTTTTGTTTGTTCATTTTAATCGGGCAACCATGCAGCCACCTAATCTCTCCTATTATCTGTGTTATAGACCCCGTTTGTCAGAATTTAACCTGATTGCTTCCCTATTTCTGCCTTTTGTTCTACAGGCTGCATAAACAGTCTGTTCCAGTGGAGAAGCTGATTTCCAACCTTTACACTGTTGGTTTTAGTTTAGAAATGTTTCTTGTCCTTTCTGCTTTGATATAGAAGCACCATGATGTGTGATACCAACTATCTCTGGGATTTAAATTCAAATTTTTTAAAAAGTTAGCATTTCAACATCAACAGGTACGTGATCCAGATTTTATTTGGGTAAATTCTCTCATAAATAAATACATTTCACTCCCTTGTACACATAGTGCAGCTAAAATCAGTTCAGAAACAGCCTGTTATGGTCTCATAACTAAAGCTCAATTTCTGCAGAAAACACTATAATTGTAGTGGCAATCTTTCTTCATTTTCCAAAATACCACTTAGAGCTGCAGACACAGTAATTTCTTCACTCGCACGACATGACAAGTTCTTAAAGTTTTTATGTCTTTACTTAGAAATAAAAGGGTTACAAAATCAGAAGACGCACGGTAAGAAAACTTTATGCTCCCATGCCTTATGCAGCTCTGCCAAAACAGCACCTGCACGTTCTCAGTTACATCACTTAAAGGGGCAGTCATCAAATATTTTTTATATCAATAACTGTTTTCTTAGAACTATGAAATACACAATGACATGAACTAAGAATAAAAGAAAATATAAACTGCAACTATGAACTGTATTTATTTCTTGCATATTCTATCTTTTTCTGCTTTATGGCTCTTACATATCCGGCCCCTAATTGGGTATATTGTAAGATTACTCAATTATAATTAACTTAAACTAAGAGCCATCAAATCAAGACTATTAATAAACTACAAATAAACAATCTTAAAGTAAAAGAGTCCTTTTATCTTATTTCTTGCATATTCTATCTTTTCTGCTTTATGGCTCTTACATATCCGGCCCCTAATTGGGTATATTGTAAGATTACTCAATTATAATTAACTTAAACTAAGAGCCATCAAATCAAGACTATTAATAAACTACAAATAAACAATCTTAAAGTAAAAGAGTCCTTTTATCTTCTTTCTCTTCATATGGCTTCTTGCAATAAGCATAGCTTATGCACAGATCTCTCCAGGATGCAGTTCTTCGTTTGCAACTTGACACGACGTACAGTTCCACTGGAGTCAGGTAGGACTTGAACTATTCTTCCCATGATCCATGAGTTGCGTGGAGATGAACTGTCTACTACTAGCACCACATCTCCAGGTTCAAAATTCCTTTTCTGTCTCGTCCACTTCTGACGTTCTTGGAGGAGGGGGAGGTATTCGAGAGTCCATCTGCGCCAGAATAGATCTGCAAGATACTGTACTTGCCTCCAGCGCTATCTTGCGTATAGATCATCCTGGTTGAAAATTCCCGGTGGCAGGTTAGGCTGTACCTTCGTCAACAACAGGTGGTTAGGGGTCAGAGGATCTAAATCGTATGGATCATCTGACACGCTAGTTATGGGTCGCCATTTATTATGCTTTCAACCTCACCAAGAAGTGTTTGAAGGCTGTCGTCGGTAAGGGTCTGTTCCTTGAGAAGGGCACTAAGAATTCTACGAACTGAACGGATCTGCCGTTCCCAAGTCCCGCCTTCATGTGATGCTGCGGGACTATTAAAAAACCACTTGATGCCTTTCTTTTGCATTGTCTTCTCAATCTCTGATTGGTTCAGGTTTTTCAGTGCCTCTCTCAATTCCTTCTCGGCACCAACAAAATTGGTGCCATTGTCGGATCGGATTATGGAGACCTGTCCTCTTCTACTCACAAAGTGACCAAGGACACTGATACAGGCACTTGTGTCCAGACTATCAGCCACCTCAATGTGCACTGCCCCAATGGTGAGGCAGGTGAACATCACACCATATCTTTTGACAGTGCCCCGGCCCCGTTTCACTTCAAATGGGCCAAAGTAATCAATTCCAACATTAGTGAATGGTGGTTTGTCTGGTACAAGACGATCTTTGGGCAGAGGTGCCATTTTCTGTTCACCTACTTGTCCTTGTAGTCTTCTGCAGACCGTGCATTTGGATATGAGCTTCCTGATGGTGGAGACTGCTTGTGGGATCCAAAACTTCTCTCTTAACTGCGATAACATATAGTTACGCCCACAGTGACCGATCCTCTCATGGATGTCACTCAGGATGAGAAATGCAACTCCTGAATGTTTGGACAGTATCACATGATATTTTGTGTCCACTGGCATGGCAGATTTAGCTAGCCGTCCTCCTACCCTAAGAATGCCATCTTTCAGCAAGGGATCAAGTTTATGCAGCTGGCTGCTCTTCTTTACAGACTTACTATTGCAGAGCGCATTAATCTCCTCAGGAGAGCATTGGGCTTGGCTGTACCTGATGATTTCTGCTTCTGCCGTTGTCAGCTGTTCCAAGGTAAGTGCTTTCTTTTCCATGGTACTCCTGTACCTTTCCATGCTTTTTTGCACAAGCAACTTCTGCTTCACTGGATCCTTTTCTGTTTTCTCTCATGGATGTCACTCAGGATGAGAAATGCAACTCCTGAATGTTTGGACAGTATCACAGGATATTTTGTGTCCACTGGCATGGCAGATTTAGCTAGCCGTCCTCCTACCCTAAGAATGCCATCTTTCAGCAAGGGATCAAGTTTATGCAGCTGGCTGCTCTTCTTTACAGACTTACTATTGCAGAGCGCATTAATCTCCTCAGGAGAGCATTGGGCTTGGCTGTACCTGATGATTTCTGCTTCTGCCGTTGTCAGCTGTTCCAAGGTAAGTGGTTTCTTTTCCATGGTACTCCTGTACCTTTCCATGCTTTTTTGGACAAGCAACTTCTGCTTCACTGGATCCTTTTCTGTTTGACTGATTTCACTTTGAAACTCTTTTCTTTTGGTTTTCAGATTGAACAAAATTTCTTTAACTTTCAGAATCCACGCAGTCGCCCTTTTCAGTCGGTTCCAACTGTCATAGTACTCGATTAACTTGTTCATGCAATCAAGCTTTTCTTCCATTGTGATGGTGTTTACTGTGACACTTTTCACCTCTGGGTCATTCTGCATGCTCTGAGTCAGATTGTCAGGTCTTTGTGGCCATTCGCTTTCTGGCCGTGAAAGGAATTCTGGGCCATTTATCCAGTCTTTATCTTCCATGAACTTTTTTGCTTTCATACCTCTGGTTGCTTTATCAGCTGGGTTCTGCGACGTTCTGATGTACCTCCACTGAGATGGTTTAGTGGCCTCTCGTATAAGTGTGATTCTATTTGCCACAAAGGTCTTGTAACGGGCTGTGTCACTATCGATGTACTTCAGAACCGTTGTGCTGTCAGTCCAAAAGATTGACTGCTGAAGTGGGATCTGCATTTCAGCTTGCAGCATCCTATCCACCTTGACTGCAACCACCGCTGCAGTCAACTCCAGCCTTGGCACAGTGATCTGCTTGAGTGGGGACACTCGAGACTTCCCCATCATCAAGGAACAATGGATTCTGCCTAGGTCATTCATCAGAACAAGGTAAGATGCTGTGCCATAGGCGACCTCACTCGCATCTGAAAAATGGTGTAACCTGGCAACTACAGGTGCTGGTCATAAAATTAGAATATCATGAAAAAGTAGATTGAT